ATTTTTGGTTTCGATCAAAGTAGGCTATTTTCAAAAAAAATATCGATTTTATATCTATATTAGCATTCTTTATCATTTATAATACCTAGATATGTTTTAAAATGCAATTTAAAGCATTTTTGGTTTCGATCACAGTAGGCTATTTTCAAAAAAATATCGATTTTATATCTATATTAGCACTCTTTATCATTTATAATACCTAGATATGTTTTAAAATGCAATTTAAAGCATTTTTGGTTTCGATCATAGTAGGCTATTTAAAAAAATATCGATTTTATATCTATATTAGCATTCTTTATCATTTATAATACCTAGATATTATTAAAATGCAATTTAAAGCATTTTTGGTTTCGATCATAGTAGGCTATTTTCAAAAAAATATCGATTTTATATCTATATTAGCACTCTTTATCATTTATAATACCTAGATATGTTTTAAAATGCAATTTAAAGCATTTTTGGTTTCGATCATAGTAGGCTATTTAAAAAAATATCGATTTTATATCTATATTAGCATTCTTTATCATTTATAATACCTAGATATGTTTTAAAATGCAATTTAAAGCATTTTTGATTTCGATCATAGTAGGCTATTTTCAAAAAAATATCGATTTTTTATCTATATTAGCATTCTTTATCATTTATAATACCTAGATATGTTTTAAAATGCAATTTAAAGCATTTTTGGTTTCGATCATTGTAGACTATTTTCAAAAAAACATCGATTTTATATCTATATTAGCATTCTTTATCATTTACAATACCTAGATATGTTTTAAAATGCAATTTAACGCATTTTTGGTTCGATCATAGTAGGCTATTTTCAAAAAAATATCGATTTTATATCTATTTAGCATTTTTATCATTTATAATACCAAGATATTATTAAAATGCAATTTAAAGCATTTTTGGTTTTGATCATAGTAGGTTTTTTTCAAAAAAATATCGATTTTATGTCTATATTTGCACTCTTTGTCATTTATAATACCTAGATATGTTTTAAAATGCAATTTAAAGCATTTTTGGTTTCGATCATAGTAGGCTATTTTCAAAAAAATATCGATTTTATATCTATATTAGCATTCTTTATCATTTATTATACCTAGATATGTTTTAAAATGCAATTTAAAGCATTTTTGATTTCGATCAAAGTAGGCTATTTTCAAAAAAAATATCGATTTTATATCTATATTAGCATTCTTTATCATTTATAATACCTAGATATGTTTTAAAATGCAATTTAAAGCATTTTTGGTTTCGATCACAGTAGGCTATTTTCAAAAAAATATCGATTTTATATCTATATTAGCATTCTTTATCATTTATAATACCTAGATATGTTTTAAAATGCAATTTAAAGCATTTTTGGTTTCGATCATAGTGGGCTATTTTCAAAAAAATATCGATTTTATATCTATATTAGCATTCTTTATCATTTATAATACCTAGATATTATTAAAATGCAATTTAAAGCATTTTTGGTTTCGATCATAGTAGGCTATTTTCAAAAAAATATCGATTTTATATCTATATTAGCACTCTTTATCATTTATAATACCTAGATATGTTTTAAAATGCAATTTAAAGCATTTTTGGTTTCGATCATAGTAGGCTATTTTCAAAAAAATATCGATTTTATATCTATATTAGCATTCTTTATCATTTATAATACCTAGATATTATTAAAATGCAGTTTAAAGCATTTTTGGTTTCGATCATAGTAGGCTATTTTCAAAAAAATATCGATTTGATATCTATATTAGCACTCTTTATCATTTACAATACCTAGATATGTTTTAAAATGCAATTTAAAGCATTTTTGGTTTCGATCATAGTAGGCTATTTAAAAAAATATCGATTTTATATCTATATTAGCATTCTTTATCATTTATAATACCTAGATATTATTAAAATGCAATTTAAAGCATTTTGGTTTCGATCATAGTAGGCTATTTTCAAAAAAATATCGATTTTATATCTATATTAGCACTCTTTATCATTTATAATACCTAGATATGTTTTAAAATGCAATTTAAAGCATTTTTGGTTTCGATCATAGTAGGCTATTTTAAAAAATATCGATTTTATATCTATATTAGCATTCTTTATCATTTATAATACCTAGATATGTTTTAAAATGCAATTTAAAGCATTTTTGGTTTCGATCATAGTAGGCTAATTTCAAAAAAATATCGATTTTATATCAATATTAGAATTCTTTATCATTGTTAATATCTAGATATGTTTTGAAATGCAATTTAAAGCATTTTTGGTTTCGATCATAGTAGGCTATTTCAAAAAAATATCGATTTTATATCTATATTAGCATTCTTTATCATTTATAATACCTAGATATGTTTTAAAATGCAATTTAACGCATTTTTGGTTTCGATCAAAGTAGACTATTTTCAAAAAAATATCGATTTTATATCTATATTAGCATTCTTTATCATTTACAATACCTAGATATGTTTTAAAATGCAATTTAAAGCATTTTTGGTTTCGATCACAGTAGGATTTTTTATATCTATATTAGCATTCTTTATCATTTATAATACCTAGATATGTTTTAAAATGCAATTTAAAGCATTTTTGATTTCGATCATAGTGGGCTATTTTCAAAAAAATATCGATTTTATATCTATATTAGCATTCTTTATCATTTATAATACCTAGATATTATTAAAATGCAATTTAAAGCATTTTTGGTTTCGATCATAGTAGGCTATTTTCAAAAAAATATCGATTTTATATCTATATTAGCACTCTTTATCATTTATAATACCTAGATATGTTTAAAAATGCAATTTAAAGCATTTTTGGTTTCGATCATAGTAGGCTATTTCCAAAAAAATATCGATTTAATATCTATATTAGCATTCTTTATCATTTATAATACCTAGATATGTTTTAAAATGCAATTTAAAGCATTTTTGATTTCGATCATAGTAGGCTATTTTCAAAAAAATATCGATTTTATATCAATATTAGCATTCTTTATCATTTATAATACCTAGATATGTTTTAAAATGCAATTTAAAGCATTTTTGGTTTCGATCACAGTAGGATTTTTTATATCTATATTAGCATTCTTTATCATTTATAATACCTAGATATGTTTTAAAATGCAATTTAAAGCATTTTTGGTTTCGATCATAGTAGGCTATTTCCAAAAAAATATCGATTTAATATCTATATTAGCATTCTTTATCATTTATAATACCTAGATATGTTTTAAAATGCAATTTAAAGCATTTTTGATTTCGATCATACCCAAGTAACCAAAATCTTCCATAAAATTTGCCTATAACGTAAATGGAAATTCAAAAGGCTTTCCATTTTTTATTCCATTTATGTATAACATTCGTAAAACACTATCGTAAAACTTATGTAACACATAAATGATACATTCTAAATATATATTGACGACAAAATATTATTAGCTTACATTTGTAAGTTTTGAGATATACTATATTTTATGTGCATAAAAATAATGAATCATAACTGGGGAAAAACGTGTTAACATAAGTCTTTTGAGTGATTTGCAACTAGAATTAAAAATTTTTTATTTGAACCTATTTTACCTAATAACTAAATTAGACACTAAAACATAAAATTCCAATTAGGACATCAAAAAAAAAATCTTATGTAGCTTGTATCCAGAAAATCTTGACGACCAAAATAAATGTGATATGTTTACGGAGATCTTGAATATAAGCAACTTCTCGAATATGATAACGTTTAAAAGCCAACACAAGTATCGTTCAAGCCCTAATCCATTTTCACCATGTGCCATTGTTCCATAAACTATTTAATCGATATACCTAAAATGGCAATAAATTAAGTTACTAAAGTTAAAATAAATTAATGTTGAAAATTTCACCAAGAATAAGTTTTATCGCTAATTCCTTCTTTTTATATGCAGCCAATAATTTTACATTGTCACCCTCACGCATGGATCCACTAATAATCTCTACAACGCCTGGTAAAAGAACATCAATCCTTTCGGTCAAATCTTTACTTTCAGAACATCTTGTCATATAGAAAGCTTTAATTCCAGCAGGGGATCTACGAATCAAAATATACTCATTAATTGTATCTGTCATTTTTACTTTACCAGAATATATTCAACATTCAATTCATATCACAGAAGCAGTTTTCCCTTCTGGAACTTCCACTAATGTTTCATGAATTGCAACTGATGATTCAGTTGATACATTGCAAAAATCCATAGCCGTCCCGTAAAAAACTAAACCTTAATCTTTTATCTTGCCGTCTTAAACGATGGATACAGCCTTTTAAGCATTTTCTCCTTCCATTTTAACACTTTTGCGCCGAATTGTTGAATTCTTTTTCTCAGACTTTTCATCTTTTGAAGATCCAGATCCAGCAACCTAAAAAGAGCACAATAGTATTTTAATTACAATTCTATCTGTAATAATATCACTATTATGTAATTGTATGAATAGGTAATTGCACAAATTGCTCTAAACGAAGCTTTTTGATATTTTAAGTTAATTAAATATAAAAAAAATCCAGCTACGATTTTATCACATTTTTCTTCACTTACAAGCAATTTTCGAATGTCACAAAACCGTTAAGAAACGTGTCATCTTAAAGTTATGTCTTACATAACTTAATTAATTATAGAATAAATGATTTTTTATTAAATTTAATAAAAACAAATGTTATGAATAAGCATGACTGGCGTTTTTATTACTTTCATTGATTATTCTTTCATGTAAATGCTGTATTCCTTGAATGGAAAATTTTTGTTCCCTTAATGTATAATAGCATACAAATTAAGACAAATAACTCATTTATTCAAATATTTGATGAGAACAGCCGCAATTTTGAAAGTCCTTAAAAATAACACTTAAAGTTTAATTAAACAGAGTCTAAGTTGTGACAGTTAAAAGTTTAAAGCAGTATAAGGCTGTAAGTATGTGAAGGATGTCCAGTAATTATGTAAATACTCATAGAAAACATTCATAAACGTCATGGGGAAAAAAAATATTTTGAGTGTAAAGAAGCAAAGTATAAAGAAGAAAGAACAAAGAAGATTAAAACTGGTGCTACAAAACATAGACAATGAATCAAAAAATGTAAAAGACCCTATTAATAGCATTGAACAGGCTGATTGCAACAGTTTTGAAACTGGCCAGAATGAGACTTTTAATGAATTATCTAGTGATGAAGAAAGTGAAACTGTAAATGATGACCACGAGGACAGTGAAAAAGATATAAATGCCAAAAAAGACATGATTTTTGATTTAAATCTTGAAGACTTTCTTAAAGTATGGTCAGTTAAGTTTTTCATTAATAAAGATGCGTTAAATATACTCTTAAAGTATATTAATAATAAATTTGACAAAAAAATTCCAAAAGATTATAGAAAACTATTACAAATATCCCATTGAAAAGTGTTGAACCCGGTAATTACGTTCATATTGGAATAAGGAAGCACGTAGATGCCTTTTTGAACAAGGTTCAAATAGTGCCATCAGAATTAAAAATAAGACTAAATATAGATGGTCTACCGTTATACAAAGATTCAGCTCGTGTTCCTGCATTATGGTTAATACAGGGAGATTTTTATGGGATCGATGAGTATCCATTTATCATTGGCTGTTATGGTGGTGTAACAAAACCCAAAAATTTCAACGATTTTCTTATTCCAACGATAGAAGAACTGAAAGAATTATGTGACTATGTGTATAATGGATCTAGTGTGAAAATAATTTTACATAACATTCTTGCCGACGCACCAGCAAAATCAGCAATATTAAATACAATAAGCCATAACGGATATTACGCATGTCCAAAATGTGAAACTGAAGGAAAACATATTGAAAATAAAATGAGCTATCCAGATTTGGATGCACCGTTACGGACCAATATGTCATTTCGCAATCAACTAAATGAGGAATACCATTTTGGACACTCATCATTTGAAGATTTGGATTACTTTAATATGATAGAAGGTGTAATGGTGGACTACATGCACACAGTTCTTTTAGGTGTTACAAAAAAATTGCTTCGTGTGTGGTTTATTGATTCAAATGCTTTTAAACTGTCAAATTGCTATAAAAACGAAATCAGTAACCAAATCGCCATAATTAATGAAACAATACCAAAAGAATTTCAAAGAAGTTTGAGAAACTTAAATTACATAAACCATTTTAAAGCTACAGAATTTAGAACATTTTTACTTTTTCACGGTCCAATTGTGTTGAAAAATATTTTAGAACCCAATTTATACAACCATTTTAAAAAATTACACGTAGCTATAAGAATTTTGTGTGATAAGAAATATTACGTTACATTTAATAATATTGCAAAAATTCTCCTCCAAGAATTTATTGAAGATGTGATTGAAATATATGGTGAAAAAGAGGTTGTTTATAATATTCATCTCCTGTCACATTTACCACTAGAATCTATAAAAAATGGCACGTTAGACAACTTCTCATGCTTTCCATTCGAGAACCGAATGATGTTTGTAAAAAAACTGATAAAAGCGAACAATAATCCGTTACAACAATTACACAATCGCTTGGCTGAGTACGACAATCTGTGTTCTGATAAACTATTTGATGACATAATTCACGAAAGGAAGAGAACCTCAAGTTCCAAAAATGACTGCGTTATTTTCAATAATTTAACGATTGACTGTAGTGAAAATAATCGTTACTTTCTTTTAAAAACGAATAAGATATTTAAATATAATTCCTCCTATAAGGAAGATGAAAATGTTTTTCTGCGAGGAGAGATTTTTTTGTCTACAGATGATATATATGATGTGCCAATAAAATCAAGATGTTTAGACATATTTGCTTTAAAATCTAATGAGACAAGAGAAATGACAGTTGGGATACATGATTTGGAGCGTAAAATGTTTTCTATGAATATTGAGCATGTTAAGGATAGTGGAACTAAATTTAACAAAATATTTTTTCCATTATAGATTTGAATCCTTTACTATGTACTACATTGTAAAATTTACTGATTCAAATTCCATTGGCATCGTTAAGAAGTCGTGGATGATTAGTGAAAAAAGATGCAAATATCCCAAAACTAAAAAAGTGTCCAAATTATTATTAAACCCAAATGAATCTGACAATGAAAAAGCATGGAAAGAATTTGACTGTGTTTTAAAATATCCATCCAAATATGGAGACTCTGGAATCGACTGTCTTAAAAAAGCACAAAAGAAAGAAAAATTCTATGTCAGTTTCTCAGATACAGAAGATTTTCAAGGAAAAATGAGTATAAAAAAGTTAAAAAAAAAGCATCCAATATCTCAGGTCACGCAACAAACAAATTTAAATCACTTGGTTCCAATGGTAATATCTTTTTTTTTCATTTTTTTTTTTCTAATAACGTTGATGTCTTTAATAATGTATTGTTATTGCAGCATGTAAAAATCAAAAAAGAGAGAGTAGTTGGCAATCAATCATCAGAGCATGTGAAGAATTATGTCGAGTCAGAGATTGAAACTTTTGAAGCTTGTGAAAGCATTATTGAAAATAATGAGACTACAATCGAGTTTCAAAACGTTCCATTCAGTCAATTTCATGAAATTCCTCAAGAAACTGAAAGTTCCAGTCATGATCAAGTTCCAGAAGTAAGTATTTCAATAAAAAGTAGTGATATGTTTTTTAAATATTTTTTCTTTCAATTAGGTTGTAGCTGAAATTATTCCAAGTAATTATTCTAACTCAATTTTAATGAACACGGTGATGCCAAATGTTAACCGCATAATTAATCAAAACGAGCGAATTCTAAGTGAGCAAATAAAAATTAAGACACGATTGGAACTTATCGAAGCTCGTTTAGAAAAGATGGAAACTAAATATGAGTGTGATGCACAAATGGAGGGTTTTGAGATAGACAGTCAGAAGGAAGATAAATGTACAATGCAATAAGACATCAATGTAATACATTAAAGTATTACATATGTCTAGCTATGTACTACAAAGATGTAATGTTCTAAATCAGTACATTTTCACAAAACATTTATAGGGTTTTAATTTCTGAAAACCCTTGAAAAATAATTTTTGAAATTAAAAAATACTATTGTTTCAATACAACTCACGGTCTTCAACAAGTTTATTCTAATTTTAAATTTCTTTTTGTAATTATTATGTTTATCCCTAAGTGTCCTAATTGTTGTATATAATAAAAAATAACGTATTTTTAAAATTTTTCTTGGTGTAAACGATCATGTCGTTATGTTTAAATTAAATTAAAAATTTTAGAATTGGATTTAAGAAGTGAAGAGTGAAGCAAATAAAGGTAAATATTAGGTTTTAAGGATTGTAAGTAACAGATTATTGCTCTTAATTTACGCTTTAATTGATAATTGATGAAAATTTAGTGAAAAATTTTAATGCGCACTGTTTTTCCTATTTTATCTTACATAGAATGCCAAAAAACGAAGTTAAGTGATGAGTGTGAACGAATGAAAATGATAATTACTCAATAAGAGCTGCACTTCAAAAATAAAAGGATAATGAATATTTAATTAAATAGAAGCCAGCACTTTGAACTTTGGGCACAACGATTCATAGTGATTAAATGTGAGTACAAGATTTTTTGTTAGTTTTTAAGAAGAATCATCCTCAGTTGTGTCAGAATCATCCCCAGATGTGTCAGAGTCATCAACATCTGTTCGATCATATCTTTTGATATGATATACTGTGATAGAACTACACGAACTGATGAGTTTTCTGATCCGTTATTTTCACTACAGTAAATAGATTTTAAAAAAATTATGAACTGGGTGAGACAAAAAAAGAGTCCCTTACCTTTTCTTTTTTGGTGCTCCCCAGTAACTTATATTTTGAAAGTTCTCAGTAAAAAGGAGTTTAATTACGTTCTTCAAAACTCCAAAGTAATGATAATTTGCAGATCCTTGCGGACAGTTTTTAAAAAGGAAAAGGACCTATAGTGTCGATTATATAATGTTATTAGTTTATACCATTGAACAATTATTAACAACTTACAACTTTTGCCTTGAATCCTTTGTCCTTTTTAATACTCTTTAAAAAGGAATACAAGTCATTTGGACTGTCTATTTTGTCAATACATGTATTATCCATAAGTATAATCCATGGAAGATTTGTATGTAATACATAAATGTTCCATTTGGTTACTTGGGTAGTAGGCTATTTTCAAAAAAATATCGATTTTATATCTATATTAGCATTCTTTATCATTTATTATACCTAGATATGTTTTAAAATGCAATTTAAAGCATTTTTGGTTTCGATCATTGTAGACTATTTTCAAAAAAATATCGATTTTATATCTATATTAGCATTCTTTATCATTTATTATACCTAGATATGTTTTAAAATGCAATTTAAAGCATTTTTGGTTTCGATCATAGTAGGCTATTTTCAAAAAAATATCGATTTTATATCTATATTAGCATTCTTTATCATTTATAATACCTAGATATGTTTTTAAAAGCAATTTAACGCATTTTTGGTTTCGATCAAAGTAGGTTTTTTTCAAAAAAATATCGATTTTATATCTATATTAGCATTCTTTATCATTTATAATACCTAGATATGTTTTTAAAAGCAATTTAACGCATTTTTGGTTTCGATCAAAGTAGGTTTTTTTCAAAAAAATATCGATTTGATATCTATATTAGCACTCTTTATCATTTACAATACCTAGATATGTTTTAAAATGCAATTTAAAGCATTTTTGGTTTCGATCATAGTAGGCTATTTAAAAAAATATCGATTTTATATCTATATTAGCATTCTTTATCATTTATAATACCTAGATATTATTAAAATGCAATTTAAAGCATTTTGGTTTCGATCATAGTAGGCTATTTTCAAAAAAATATCGATTTTATATCTATATTAGCATTCTTTATCATTTATAATACCTAGATATGTTTTTAAAAGCAATTTAACGCATTTTTGGTTTCGATCAAAGTAGGTTTTTTTCAAAAAAATATCGATTTGATATCTATATTAGCACTCTTTATCATTTACAATACCTAGATATGTTTTAAAATGCAATTTAAAGCATTTTTGGTTTCGATCATAGTAGGCTATTTTCAAAAAAATTTCGATTTTATATCTATATTAGCATTCTTTATCATTTATAATACCTAGATATGTTTTTAAAAGCAATTTAACGCATTTTTGGTTTCGATCAAAGTAGGTTTTTTTCAAAAAAATATCGATTTGATATCTATATTAGCACTCTTTATCATTTACAATACCTAGATATGTTTTAAAATGCAATTTAAAGCATTTTTGGTTTCGATCATAGTAGGCTATTTAAAAAAATATCGATTTTATATCTATATTAGCATTCTTTATCATTTATAATACCTAGATATTATTAAAATGCAATTTAAAGCATTTTGGTTTCGATCATAGTAGGCTATTTTCAAAAAAATATCGATTTTATATCTATATTAGCACTCTTTATCATTTATAATACCTAGATATGTTTTAAAATGCAATTTAAAGCATTTTTGGTTTCGATCATAGTAGGCTATTTTAAAAAATATCGATTTTATATCTATATTAGCATTCTTTATCATTTATAATACCTAGATATGTTTTAAAATGCAATTTAAAGCATTTTTGGTTTCGATCATAGTAGGCTAATTTCAAAAAAATATCGATTTTATATCAATATTAGAATTCTTTATCATTGTTAATATCTAGATATGTTTTGAAATGCAATTTAAAGCATTTTTGGTTTCGATCATAGTAGGCTATTTCAAAAAAATATCGATTTTATATCTATATTAGCATTCTTTATCATTTATAATACCTAGATATGTTTTAAAATGCAATTTAACGCATTTTTGGTTTCGATCAAAGTAGACTATTTTCAAAAAAATATCGATTTTATATCTATATTAGCATTCTTTATCATTTACAATACCTAGATATGTTTTAAAATGCAATTTAAAGCATTTTTGGTTTCGATCACAGTAGGATTTTTTATATCTATATTAGCATTCTTTATCATTTATAATACCTAGATATTATTAAAATGCAATTTAAAGCATTTTTGGTTTCGATCATAGTAGGCTATTTTCAAAAAAATATCGATTTTATATCAATATTAGCATTCTTTATCATTTATAATACCTAGATATGTTTTAAAATGCAATTTAAAGCATTTTTGGTTTCGATCATAGTAGGATTTTTTATATCTATATTAGCATTCTTTATCATTTATAATACCTAGATATGTTTTAAAATGCAATTTAAAGCATTTTTGGTTTCGATCATAGTAGGCTATTTCCAAAAAAATATCGATTTAATATCTATATTAGCATTCTTTATCATTTATAATACCTAGATATGTTTTAAAATGCAATTTAAAGCATTTTTGATTTCGATCATACCCAAGTAACCAAAATCTTCCATAAAATTTGCCTATAACGTAAATGGAAATTCAAAAGGCTTTCCATTTTTTATTCCATTTATGTATAACATTCGTAAAACACTATCGTAAAACTTATGTAACACATAAATGATACATTCTAAATATATATTGACGACAAAATATTATTAGCTTACATTTGTAAGTTTTGAGATATACTATATTTTATGTGCATAAAAATAATGAATCATAACTGGGGAAAAACGTGTTAACATAAGTCTTTTGAGTGATTTGCAACTAGAATTAAAAATTTTTTATTTGAACCTATTTTACCTAATAACTAAATTAGACACTAAAACATAAAATTCCAATTAGGACATCAAAAAAAAAATCTTATGTAGCTTGTATCCAGAAAATCTTGACGACCAAAATAAATGTGATATGTTTACGGAGATCTTGAATATAAGCAACTTCTCGAATATGATAACGTTTAAAAGCCAACACAAGTATCGTTCAAGCCCTAATCCATTTTCACCATGTGCCATTGTTCCATAAACTATTTAATCGATATACCTAAAATGGCAATAAATTAAGTTACTAAAGTTAAAATAAATTAATGTTGAAAATTTCACCAAGAATAAGTTTTATCGCTAATTCCTTCTTTTTATATGCAGCCAATAATTTTACATTGTCACCCTCACGCATGGATCCACTAATAATCTCTACAACGCCTGGTAAAAGAACATCAATCCTTTCGGTCAAATCTTTACTTTCAGAACATCTTGTCATATAGAAAGCTTTAATTCCAGCAGGGGATCTACGAATCAAAATATACTCATTAATTGTATCTGTCATTTTTACTTTACCAGAATATATTCAACATTCAATTCATATCACAGAAGCAGTTTTCCCTTCTGGAACTTCCACTAATGTTTCATGAATTGCAACTGATGATTCAGTTGATACATTGCAAAAATCCATAGCCGTCCCGTAAAAAACTAAACCTTAATCTTTTATCTTGCCGTCTTAAACGATGGATACAGCCTTTTAAGCATTTTCTCCTTCCATTTTAACACTTTTGCGCCGAATTGTTGAATTCTTTTTCTCAGACTTTTCATCTTTTGAAGATCCAGATCCAGCAACCTAAAAAGAGCACAATAGTATTTTAATTACAATTCTATCTGTAATAATATCACTATTATGTAATTGTATGAATAGGTAATTGCACAAATTGCTCTAAACGAAGCTTTTTGATATTTTAAGTTAATTAAATATAAAAAAAATCCAGCTACGATTTTATCACATTTTTCTTCACTTACAAGCAATTTTCGAATGTCACAAAACCGTTAAGAAACGTGTCATCTTAAAGTTATGTCTTACATAACTTAATTAATTATAGAATAAATGATTTTTTATTAAATTTAATAAAAACAAATGTTATGAATAAGCATGACTGGCGTTTTTATTACTTTCATTGATTATCCTTTCATGTAAATGCTGTATTCCTTGAATGGAAAATTTTTGTTCCCTTAATGTATAATAGCATACAAATTAAGACAAATAACTCATTTATTGAAATATTTGATGAGAACAGCCGCAATTTTGAAAGTCCTTAAAAATAACACTTAAAGTTTAATTAAACAGAGTCTAAGTTGTGACAGTTAAAAGTTTAAAGCAGTATAAGGCTGTAAGTATGTGAAGGATGTCCAGTAATTATGTAAATACTCATAGAAAACATTCATAAACGTCATGGGGAAAAAAAATATTTTGAGTGTAAAGAAGCAAAGTATAAAGAAGAAAGAACAAAGAAGATTAAAACTGGTGCTACAAAACATAGACAATGAATCAAAAAATGTAAAAGACCCTATTAATAGCATTGAACAGGCTGATTGCAACAGTTTTGAAACTGGCCAGAATGAGACTTTTAATGAATTATCTAGTGATGAAGAAAGTGAAACTGTAAATGATGACCACGAGGACAGTGAAAAAGATATAAATGCCAAAAAAGACATGATTTTTGATTTAAATCTTGAAGACTTTCTTAAAGTATGGTCAGTTAAGTTTTTCATTAATAAAGATGCGTTAAATATACTCTTAAAGTATATTAATAATAAATTTGACAAAAAAATTCCAAAAGATTATAGAAAACTATTACAAACACCTCGTCATATCCCATTGAAAAGTGTTGAACCCGGTAATTACGTTCATATTGGAATAAGGAAGCACGTAGATGCCTTTTTGAACAAGGTTCAAATAGTGCCATCAGAATTAAAAATAAGACTAAATATAGATGGTCTACCGTTATACAAAGATTCAGCTCGTGTTCCTGCATTATGGTTAATACAGGGAGATTTTTATGGGATCGATGAGTATCCATTTATCATTGGCTGTTATGGTGGTGTAACAAAACCCAAAAATTTCAACGATTTTCTTATTCCAACGATAGAAGAACTGAAAGAATTATGTGACTATGTGTATAATGGATCTAGTGTGAAAATAATTTTACATAACATTCTTGCCGACGCACCAGCAAAATCAGCAATATTAAATACAATAAGCCATAACGGATATTACGCATGTCCAAAATGTGAAACTGAAGGAAAACATATTGAAAATAAAATGAGCTATCCAGATTTGGATGCACCGTTACGGACCAATATGTCATTTCGCAATCAACTAAATGAGGAATACCATTTTGGACACTCATCATTTGAAGATTTGGATTACTTTAATATGATAGAAGGTGTAATGGTGGACTACATGCACACAGTTCTTTTAGGTGTTACAAAAAAATTGCTTCGTGTGTGGTTTATTGATTCAAATGCTTTTAAACTGTCAAATTGCTATAAAAACGAAATCAGTAACCAAATCGCCATAATTAATGAAACAATACCAAAAGAATTTCAAAGAAGTTTGAGAAACTTAAATTACATAAACCATTTTAAAGCTACAGAATTTAGAACATTTTTACTTTTTCACGGTCCAATTGTGTTGAAAAATATTTTAGAACCCAATTTATACAACCATTTTAAAAAATTACACGTAGCTATAAGAATTTTGTGTGATAAGAAATATTACGTTACATTTAATAATATTGCAAAAATTCTCCTCCAAGAATTTATTGAAGATGTGATTGAAATATATGGTGAAAAAGAGGTTGTTTATAATATTCATCTCCTGTCACATTTACCACTAGAATCTATAAAAAATGGCACGTTAGACAACTTCTCATGCTTTCCATTCGAGAACCGAATGATGTTTGTAAAAAAACTGATAAAAGCGAACAATAATCCGTTACAACAATTACACAATCGCTTGGCTGAGTACGACAATCTGTGTTCTGATAAACTATTTGATGACATAATTCACGAAAGGAAGAGAACCTCAAGTTCCAAAAATGACTGCGTTATTTTCAATAATTTAACGATTGACTGTAGTGAAAATAATCGTTACTTTCTTTTAAAAACGAATAAGATATTTAAATATAATTCCTCCTATAAGGAAGATGAAAATGTTTTTCTGCGAGGAGAGATTTTTTTGTCTACAGATGATATATATGATGTGCCAATAAAATCAAGATGTTTAGACATATTTGCTTTAAAATCTAATGAGACAAGAGAAATGACAGTTGGGATACATGATTTGGAGCGTAAAATGTTTTCTATGAATATTGAGCATGTTAAGGATAGTGGAACTAAATTTAACAAAATATTTTTTCCATTATAGATTTGAATCCTTTACTATGTACTACATTGTAAAATTTACTGATTCAAATTCCATTGGCATCGTTAAGAAGTCGTGGATGATTAGTGAAAAAAGATGCAAATATCCCAAAACTAAAAAAGTGTCCAAATTATTATTAAACCCAAATGAATCTGACAATGAAAAAGCATGGAAAGAATTTGACTGTGTTTTAAAATATCCATCCAAATATGGAGACTCTGGAATCGACTGTCTTAAAAAAGCACAAAAGAAAGAAAAATTCTATGTCAGTTTCTCAGATACAGAAGATTTTCAAGGAAAAATGAGTATAAAAAAGTTAAAAAAAAAGCATCCAATATCTCAGGTCACGCAACAAACAAATTTAAATCACTTGGTTCCAATGGTAATATCTTTTTTTTTTCATTTTTTTTTTCTAATAACGTTGATGTCTTTAATAATGTATTGTTATTGCAGCATGTAAAAATCAAAAAAGAGAGAGTAGTTGGCAATCAATCATCAGAGCATGTGAAGAATTATGTCGAGTCAGAGATTGAAACTTTTGAAGCTTGTGAAAGCATTATTGAAAATAATGAGACTACAATCGAGTTTCAAAACGTTCCATTCAGTCAATTTCATGAAATTCCTCAAGAAACTGAAAGTTCCAGTCATGATCAAGTTCCAGAAGTAAGTATTTCAATAAAAAGTAGTGATATGTTTTTTAAATATTTTTTCTTTCAATTAGGTTGTAGCTGAAATTATTCCAAGTAATTATTCTAACTCAATTTTAATGAACACGGTGATGCCAAATATTAACCGCATAATTAATCAAAACGAGCGAATTCTAAGTGAGCAAATAAAAATTAAGACACGATTGGAACTTATCGAAGCTCGTTTAGAAAAGATGGAAACTAAATATGAGTGTGATGCACAAATGGAGGGTTTTGAGATAGACAGTCAGAAGGAAGATAAATGTACAATGCAATAAGACATCAATGTAATACATTAAAGTATTACATATGTCTAGCTATGTACTACAAAGATGTAATGTTCTAAATCAGTACATTTTCACAAAACATTTATAGGGTTTTAATTTCTGAAAACCCTTGAAAAATAATTTTTGAAATTAAAAAATACTATTGTTTCAATACAACTCACGGTCTTCAACAAGTTTATTCTAATTTTAAATTTCTTTTTGTAATTATTATGTTTATCCCTAAGTGTCCTAATTGTTGTATATAATAAAAAATAACGTATTTTTAAAATTTTTCTTGGTGTAAACGATCATGTCGTTATGTTTAAATTAAATTAAAAATTTTAGAATTGGATTTAAGAAGTGAAGTGTGAAGCAAATAAAGGTAAATATTAGGTTTTAAGGATTGTAAGTAACAGATTATTGCTCTTAATTTACGCTTTAATTGATAATTGATGAAAATTTAGTGAAAAATTTTAATGCGCAATGTTTTTCCTATTTTATCATACATAGAATGCCAAAAAACGAAGTTAAGTGATGAGTGTGAACGAATGAAAATGATAATTACTCAATAAGAGCTGCACTTCAAAAATAAAAGGATAATGAATATTTAATTAAATAGAAGCCAGCACTTTGAACTTTGGGCACAACGATTCATAGTGATTAAATGTGAGTACAAGATTTTTTGTTAGTTTTTAAGAAGAATCATCCTCAGTTGTGTCAGAATCATCCCCAGATGTGTCAGAGTCATCAACATCTGTTCGATCATATCTTTTGATATGATATACTGTGATAGAACTACACGAACTGATGAGTTTTCTGATCCGTTATTTTCACTACAGTAAATAGATTTTAAAAAAATTATGAACTGGGTGAGACAAAAAAAGAGTCCCTTACCTTTTCTTTTTTGGTGCTCCCCAGTAACTTATATTTTGAAAGTTCTCAGTAAAAAGGAGTTTAATTACGTTCTTCAAAACTCCAAAGTGATGATAATTTGCAGATCCTTGCGGACAGTTTTTAAAAAGGAAAAGGACCTATAGTGTCGATTATATAATGTTATTAGTTTATACCATTGAACAATTATTAACAACTTACAACTTTTGCCTTGAATCCTTTGTCCTTTTTAATACTCTTTAAAAAGGAATACAAGTCATTTGGACTGTCTATTTTGTCAATACATGTATTATCCATAAGTATAATCCATGGAAGATTTGTATGTAATACATAAATGTTCCATTTGGTTACTTGGGTAGTAGGCTATTTTCAAAAAAATATCGATTTTATATCTATATTAGCATTCTTTATCATTTATTATACCTAGATATGTTTTAAAATGCAATTTAAAGCATTTTTGGTTTCGATCATTGTAGACTATTTTCAAAAAAATATCGATTTTATATCTATATTAGCATTCTTTATCATTTACAATACCTAGATATGTTTTAAAATGCAATTTAACGCATTTTTGGTTTCGATCATAGTAGGCTATTTTCAAAAAAATATCGATTTTATATCTATATTAGCATTCTTTATCATTTATTATACCTAGATATGTTTTAAAATGCAATTTAAAGCATTTTTGGTTTCGATCATAGTAGGCTATTTTCAAAAAAATTTCGATTTTATATCTATATTAGCATTCTTTATCATTTATAATACCTAGATATGTTTTTAAAAGCAATTTAACGCATTTTTGGTTTCGATCAAAGTAGGTTTTTTTCAAAAAAATATCGATTTTATATCTATATTAGCATTCTTTATCATTTATTATACCTAGATATGTTTTAAAATGCAATTTAAAGCATTTTTGGTTTCGATCACAGTAGGCTATTTTCAAAAAATTATCGATTTTATATCTATTTAGCATTCTTTATCGTTTATAATACCTAGATATGTTTTAAAATGCAATTTAAAGCATTTTTGGTTTCGATCATAGTAGGCTATTTTCAAAAAAATATCGATTTTATATCTATATTAGCATTCTTTATTATTTATAATACCTAGATATGTTTTAAAATGCAATTTAAAGCATTTTTGGTTTCGACCAAAGTAGGCTATTTTCAAAAAAATATCGATTTTATATCTATATTAGCATTCTTTATCATTTATAATACCTAGATATTATTAAAATGCAATTTAAAGCATTTTTGGTTTTGATCATAGTAGGTTTTTTTCAAAAAAATATCGATTTTATGTCTATATTAGCACTCTTTATCATTTATAATACCTAGATATGTTTTAAAATGCAATTTAAAGCATTTTTGGTTTCGATCATAGTAGGCTATTTTCAAAAAAATATCGATTTTATATCTATATTAGCATTCTTTATCATTTATTATACCTAAATATGTTTTAAAATGCAATTTAAAGCATTTTTGTTTTCGATCAAAGTAGGCTATTTTCAAAAAAAATATCGATTTTATATCTATATTAGCATTCTTTATCATTTATAATACCTAGATATATTTTAAAATGCAATTTAAAGCATTTTTGGTTTCGATCACAGTAAGCTATTTTCAAAAAAATATCGATTTTATATCTATATTAGCATTCTTTATCATTTATAATACCTAGATATGTTTTAAAATGCAATTTAAAGCATTTTTGGTTTCGATCATAGTAGGCTATTTTCAAAAAAATATCGATTTTATATCTATATTAGCACTCTTTATCATTTATAATACCTAGATATGTTTTAAAATGCAATTTAAAGCATTTTTGGTTTCGATCATAGTAGGCTATTTAAAAAAATATCGATTTTATATCTATATTAGCATTCTTTATCATTTATAATACCTAGATATTATTAAAATGCAATTTAAAGCATTTTTGGTTTCGATCATAGTAGGCTATTTTCAAAAAAATATCGATTTTATATCTATATTAGCACTCTTTATCATTTATAATACCTAGATATGTTTTAAAATGCAATTTAAAGCATTTTTGGTTTCGATCATAGTAGGCTATTTTAAAAAATATCGATTTTATATCTATATTAGCATTCTTTATCATTTATAATACCTAGATATGTTTTAAAATGCAATTTAAAGCATTTTTGGTTTCGATCATAGTAGGCTAATTTCAAAAAAATATCGATTTTATATCTATATTAGCATTCTTTATCATTTATAATACCTAGATATGTTTTAAAATGCAATTTAAAGCATTTTTGGTTTCGATCATAGTAGGCTATTTTCAAAAAAATATCGATTTTATATCTATATTAGCATTCTTTATCATTTACAATACCTAGATATGTTTTAAAATGCAATTTAAAGCATTTTTGGTTTCGATCATAGTAGGCTAATTTCAAAAAAATATCGATTTTATATCTATATTAGCATTCTTTATCATTTATAATACCTAGATATGTTTTAAAATGCAATTTAAAGCATTTTTGGTTTCGATCATAGTAGGCTATTTTCAAAAAAATATCGATTTTATATCTATATTAGCATTCTTTATCATTTATAATACCTAGATATGTTTTAAAATGCAATTTAAAGCATTTTTGGTTTCGATCACAGTAGGATTTTTTATATCTATATTAGCATTCTTTATCATTTATAATACCTAGATATGTTTTAAAATGCAATTTAAAGCATTTTTGGTTTCGATCATAGTAGGCTATTTCCAAAAAAATATCGATTTAATATCTATATTAGCATTCTTTATCATTTATAATACCTAGATATGTTTTAAAATGCAATTTAAAGCATTTTTGATTTCGATCATACCCAAGTAACCAAAATCTTCCATAAAATTTGCCTATAACGTAAATGGAAATTCAAAAGGCTTTCCATTTTTTATTCCATTTATGTATAACATTCGTAAAACACTATCGTAAAACTTATGTAACACATAAATGATACATTCTAAATATATATTGACGACAAAATATTATTAGCTTACATTTGTAAGTTTTGAGATATACTATATTTTATGTGCATAAAAATAATGAATCATAACTGGGGAAAAACGTGTTAACATAAGTCTTTTGAGTGATTTGCAACTAGAATTAAAAATTTTTTATTTGAACCTATTTTACCTAATAACTAAATTAGACACTAAAACATAAAATTCCAATTAGGACATCAAAAAAAAAATCTTATGTAGCTTGTATCCAGAAAATCTTGACGACCAAAATAAATGTGATATGTTTACGGAGATCTTGAATATAAGCAACTTCTCGAATATGATAACGTTTAAAAGCCAACACAAGTATCGTTCAAGCCCTAATCCATTTTCACCATGTGCCATTGTTCCATAAACTATTTAATCGATATACCTAAAATGGCAATAAATTAAGTTACTAAAGTTAAAATAAATTAATGTTGAAAATTTCACCAAGAATAAGTTTTATCGCTAATTCCTTCTTTTTATATGCAGCCAATAATTTTACATTGTCACCCTCACGCATGGATCCACTAATAATCTCTACAACGCCTGGTAAAAGAACATCAATCCTTTCGGTCAAATCTTTACTTTCAGAACATCTTGTCATATAGAAAGCTTTAATTCCAGCAGGGGATCTACGAATCAAAATATACTCATTAATTGTATCTGTCATTTTTACTTTACCAGAATATATTCAACATTCAATTCATATCACAGAAGCAGTTTTCCCTTCTGGAACTTCCACTAATGTTTCATGAATTGCAACTGATGATTCAGTTGATACATTGCAAAAATCCATAGCCGTCCCGTAAAAAACTAAACCTTAATCTTTTATCTTGCCGTCTTAAACGATGGATACAGCCTTTTAAGCATTTTCTCCTTCCATTTTAACACTTTTGCGCCGAATTGTTGAATTCTTTTTCTCAGACTTTTCATCTTTTGAAGATCCAGATCCAGCAACCTAAAAAGAGCACAATAGTATTTTAATTACAATTCTATCTGTAATAATATCACTATTATGTAATTGTATGAATAGGTAATTGCACAAATTGCTCTAAACGAAGCTTTTTGATATTTTAAGTTAATTAAATATAAAAAAAATCCAGCTACGATTTTATCACATTTTTCTTCACTTACAAGCAATTTTCGAATGTCACAAAACCGTTAAGAAACGTGTCATCTTAAAGTTATGTCTTACATAACTTAATTAATTATAGAATAAATGATTTTTTATTAAATTTAATAAAAACAAATGTTATGAATAAGCATGACTGGCGTTTTTATTACTTTCATTGATTATCCTTTCATGTAAATGCTGTATTCCTTGAATGGAAAATTTTTGTTCCCTTAATGTATAATAGCATACAAATTAAGACAAATAACTCATTTATTCAAATATTTGATGAGAACAGCCGCAATTTTGAAAGTCCTTAAAAATAACACTTAAAGTTTAATTAAACAGAGTCTAAGTTGTGACAGTTAAAAGTTTAAAGCAGTATAAGGCTGTAAGTATGTGAAGGATGTCCAGTAATTATGTAAATACTCATAGAAAACATTCATAAACGTCATGGGGAAAAAAAATATTTTGAGTGTAAAGAAGCAAAGTATAAAGAAGAAAGAACAAAGAAGATTAAAACTGGTGCTACAAAACATAGACAATGAATCAAAAAATGTAAAAGACCCTATTAATAGCATTGAACAGGCTGATTGCAACAGTTTTGAAACTGGCCAGAATGAGACTTTTAATGAATTATCTAGTGATGAAGAAAGTGAAACTGTAAATGATGACCACGAGGACAGTGAAAAAGATATAAATGCCAAAAAAGACATGATTTTTGATTTAAATCTTGAAGACTTTCTTAAAGTATGGTCAGTTAAGTTTTTCATTAATAAAGATGCGTTAAATATACTCTTAAAGTATATTAATAATAAATTTGACAAAAAAATTCCAAAAGATTATAGAAAACTATTACAAACACCTCGTCATATCCCATTGAAAAGTGTTGAACCCGGTAATTACGTTCATATTGGAATAAGGAAGCACGTAGATGCCTTTTTGAACAAGGTTCAAATAGTGCCATCAGAATTAAAAATAAGACTAAATATAGATGGTCTACCGTTATACAAAGATTCAGCTCGTGTTCCTGCATTATGGTTAATACAGGGAGATTTTTATGGGATCGATGAGTATCCATTTATCATTGGCTGTTATGGTGGTGTAACAAAACCCAAAAATTTCAACGATTTTCTTATTCCAACGATAGAAGAACTGAAAGAATTATGTGACTATGTGTATAATGGATCTAGTGTGAAAATAATTTTACATAACATTCTTGCCGACGCAC